CTTCCCGTTTTTCTTTTTCACTACTACGGGGTTAGCTAGCCAATCGGGGTAGTGTACTTCTCGGATGGACCTTGCTTTCGTGAGTCGATCTACTTCGTCGTTGACAGCTTGGGCTTTTTCGAGGCCTAGCTTACGACGTTTTTGTTTGATCGGTTTGAAAGTAGGATCTTGATTGAGCTTGTGAGTGGTGACGTTTGGGTCTATACCTCTCATGTCACTGGTGGTCCATGCAAATGTTTTGACGTTGCTTTTCAGGAAGTCGATTAATTCCTTTTTCGTTTCGAGAGGTAGCTCTGATCCGATGTTCACTTGTTTCTCGGGATCAGAGTCGTCGATGCTAACTCGTTCGGTTAGGTTCCTAGGGGGACCTCGAATATTTTGTTGCATNCTATACCTCTCATGTCACTGGTGGTCCATGCAAATGTTTTGACGTTGCTTTTCAGGAAGTCGATTAATTCCTTTTTCGTTTCGAGAGGTAGCTCTGATCCGATGTTCACTTGTTTCTCGGGATCAGAGTCGTCGATGCTAACTCGTTCGGTTAGGTTCCTAGGGGGACCTCGAATATTTTGTTGCATCTCTCGACCTTCATGGATCTGTAATTGCTATTGGGGTGATTCCTTGAGGATTCTGAATCCTCCCAAGTAACAGATCCTGGAGATCTTCTGACTACCGCGTACGGTGGTTATTCCGTCAGGTGTTGGAAATTTCATGCATTGGTGATAAGTGGAGGCTACTGCCTTCATCTTATGGATCCAGGGTCTTCCTAGGATCGCATGAAATAGAGAGGGCCTATCGATGACCACAAAGTTGGTCATTTTCATGATTCCTCCAGCTATGACCGGGAGCTTGATGGTTCCCAAAGAGGTAACTGTTTCCCCGGAGAAGCCTACAAGGTTAGCTTTCTGACCAATAATTTCGTAGTCATCTATTTCCATTCCTTTCAGGGCGTTATAGAAGATAAGGTCGACCGAGCTTCCGTGTCAACCATCAGCTTAGGCACCTCGTAACCTGCTATGTTCAGGGTGACGATTAAGGCATCATCGTGAGGTCTGTCGAGATCTGATGTCTCGCTCTCCCAGAAGGAAATCTTAGTGTTGGATTCGGGATTGAGAGGCTTAGATTGATCTTTAGAAACAGCCTTCCGCACATGGCTCTTGAATGAATTAACTGAGTCTTGACATATATCGGAGCCTCCAAGGATATAATCCACTCTCGAGCTGGGGCTCGAATGAGGCGGTGGTTTGCTTAGGAGGGTCTCGATTTGCAGACTCTTCCCTTGGGGAAATTTCCCAAGGATCATGTCAACTCTTTTCTTGGGAGCTGGCGGTGGTGAATCTGTTTCCTTCTTAGGTGATCTTTCACGTTTTAGAGAGGTGTCTCTGGGACCTCTTTTCTGGTAAGGAGGTGGTTTTTTGAGTTCCACGTCCTTTAGTTCCCCAGCTACGAATTTAGCTGCCAACTGTCGTTGGAGGTCCCAGCATTCCTTGGTTGAATGCCTTTTTCGATCGTGGTAAGAGCAGTGTTTGTTCTCATCGTAGCCTTTTGACCAGGGGGTTTTGCTTGTCGCGGCAACATGATTTTCCTGTTGGACTTCCTCGACAGCACAAGAATGTTCTCCCTGAGTCTGATTATTCTGGGAGCTCCCTTTTCTAGAGGATCCCTTTGCCTCCGAGGTTTCACCTTTCGGGTGATTCTGGGATTTCTTATGGATTTTATCCAGTGCGGCTGTTTCCTCCTCCAAGGTAATGTATCTTGATGCTTTGTGAAGAGCGTCATCGATAGTTGGGGGAGGGTTAAGCGTTAGCTCGGACCAGAATTCTGATTTGTACCAGAGGCCTCTTCTAAGAGCTTCGATGGCAACTTGATCGTTGGGGTTCGAGAGCTTAGTTCTAACTGCTCTGAATTTCTCGATGTAGATTCGTAACGAATCTCCCATTCCTTGCCTGATTTTCCAGAGGTCAGCCTCGGAAGCTTGCTTAAGGATATGGGTTGAGTATTGTTTCATGAAGGCGTTAGTGAGCTGGTCGAAGTTATCGATTGAGTTTGNAGCTTAGTTCTAACTGCTCTGAATTTCTCGATGTAGATTCGTAACGAATCTCCCATTCCTTGCCTGATTTTCCAGAGGTCAGCCTCGGAAGCTTGCTTAAGGATATGGGTTGAGTATTGTTTCATGAAGGCGTTAGTGAGCTGGTCGAAGTTATCGATTGAGTTTGGCTCGAGGCTCGAAAACCATTCGAGAGCTGTTCTGACTAGGTTCTCAGCAAAGGTTCTGCAATAACCTGCTTCACATTCTTCTCTTGTGAAGTGAGCTTTTACTATAGCTAAGCGGAAGGCTCTCAAATGAGCCTTAGGGTCTGAGGTCCCGTCATATTTGGAGATCCTAATTTTTCGGGTATCTCTTATGTAAGAGCTAGCGATTTTGTCTGTGAATAGGGTTCCACGGGTTTCCTCAATCAAGCTCTCGATTTCGGGAGCTGAGCTCGTTGCTTTGTGTACCTGAGCGTTCAACTTTTGGAGAGCTGCGTGAGTTTGCTCCATGTATCGGCGAATAGCCTCAGGTCCTTCTAGGGGAAGGACAGTTGGATCGTCGCGAGGAATCTGATGAGGAGATTCTTGATGGAGTCGAGCGTCGTCGTTCTCCCAAGCGTTAGGTGGGCTAAATCGCTCGCTACCTCTAGGACCACCTTGAGGGACGCGACCAGGGGGGTGAGCTGTAGGATCAGCTTCTGTCCTCGGGTGGCTGTCTCGATTAGGGATCGCGCTCCCATTTTGGTAAGCTGAAGCTGGTGCTCTTCCCCTAGGAGGGAAAGACATTCCTTCTCCGGACCTAAAAATAGGTGGCGGAGGCGGTAATCGTGTGCTCTGTTCGTGAACCCTATTGGGTGCAGAGCTTGTCGTCGCTACGTTACTTCCCATAGCGCTAGTTATAGGTGGACTAAATACTGGGGTTGTCCCAGTACGAGGTGTCCGGAGAACAGGCTCTTGCTCATTACGAGCAGTGCTGTTTGGGGAAAAATCCAGACATCCGCGAGGGAAGGTGGATTCGGTCAGTCGGTCTCGGAAAGTAACTCCCGATCCTTGGCGTTGCGACAGATGAGTCGTCTCGGTTAGAGATCTAGTCACTTCCTCGAACCGTTGCTTTCGGGCAGTTAGCTGCTGCAACGTGCGCTCGTTATCCTGAGCTATTTCTACCAATTGCACCATCATTCGACGCATCTCGGATAGCTGAGCTTCCGAATGATTCGGAGCGGATTGACGCTGAGGGTTTTCGGGGTGTGTAACCCCCAAGTTGTTCCCACTTGAAGTTCTTGGGGTGGTTATTCCAGTTTGGTTCGATTGAGCATTAGCCGGAGGCTGTTGCTCGGATCGGTGATCGGCGGATTGAGGTTCCGGATTCTAGGGATCCGGGTCTCTCCTGTTCGGTGAGCCGTCGATCTGGATCACGGGTTCAGGGATGGATGGGCTCGTTGCCTGGTTGGATGGATCCATTCTCAAGGTACGGAGTGAAGGATTCAATTATCTCGTCCCCACAGTCGGCGCCAAAATGTGAGGGGTAAAACTCACTCTCTAGTTTAGGTTAGGTTTAGATTGGGAAAAAGATAATCGTGGGCTGAATCCTTT